AAAGAATATGAGTACAAAATAATACACACAAAGGTCAAGAACGACCAATTGCCAAATATAACCCAAAAGCCTAAAATCAAATTTTTTTTCCTAACCCTCCAACGTAGTTCAAGATCTAAACAAATAACAAGTAAAATACACATAGCTCATATAGAGCACCAACCACATCAAAACTACACTAGTTCTTAATCAAACCTATGTTAACAGCAAGAATAAGAGACATCTTGCTCAAGAATGAACTCCCAGCCATTGTTGTCAAAAACTAGTGTAAAAACTTACGTTTCTACATTTTTACTAGAGTGGTGCGTGTTAAAACTCAAGTAAAAACTGGCATTGATAAAAATTGGTAGAAACGCCGAGTAAAAACGGTAAAACCTTACGTTTTTATCGTTTTGACCGTTTTTACTTAAAACTAAAAATTTAATAATAAAAATTAAAAAAACCTAATTTTTCGTTTTTCCCAAATCATATTCACATTATCTTAATATCTTTTTGTTTGGATATATGTTTTTTATAATTATGTCTTATAAAACTACAATTCTATTATAAGTTATGCTATGAGAATCGTTTTGTGTTTTTGAACCATTGTGTGCATTGAAAGAAGTGGAATTATATCGTGATGAGTGATGATACAAAATCTGCAGAGTGTACAAAGCAGTTAGAGCAGATTGGTTATTCATTACTTGTTAATTATCACTGTTATAATTGTGATACTTGGTTATGAATAATAACTTTCCTTTTTAGATAGATAAGTGGCTCAACACACATGTTCATTATGTGATATTTTTTTTACATGTATATATATAATTTTGTATCTTGACCTTAAGTGGTAGAAAGTAGAAACTTTACGTTTCGTGTCATTTTTATGTTTTACGTTTCTACCACCCTTTTCCGTTTCTACGTAGAAACTCGAGTTTGACAACATTGCTCTCAGCTTATAAGGAAGCATGCCAGTACTAGATTTGGAATTTAATCCCATGACTTTAATCATTTTCAACAAGATTAACTAGAACCTTTAACAAACTGAAAGCATCCTCGATTTTGTTGACATGAACTGACTTGGTGAAAATGTTAGCAGGATTACAGGAGGTTGAAATCTTCTCCACCTTCATCTATCGTTAAAGATAACCTTTCTAATAAAGTGCAACCTAACATCTGTATATTTTTTCCTTTCATGAAAGACACTATTTTTGGACAAGTGTATAGCACTTTATGAGTCACAATATATGTCTAAAATATCTTTACCTAGTCCTAATTCAGAGACAATACCCTTAAGCCACAAGGCTTTCTTAATAGCTTTTGTTAAGGTCATATATTCAGATTCATTGATGGAAAATGATACCACATGCTGGAGATTAGATTTTCAACTGACCACATTTTTACCCACCGTAAATATGTACCATAATAAAGATCTCTTATCAAGATATGCAGTATAGTACATCATAATATCCCTTAAAAATTCATTAGATTGATCAGCAGTAAAGTTCTAGCAATTATCACAAGATCCATTTAGGTATCGAAATATCTATTGTATTGCATTCCAATGTCCCTTATTTGGATTAGACATGAATCTACCCACTATACTAACACTATATGCAATATCAGGTCTAGTGCATATCATTACATACATAAAACTTCTTATGGCATTATGTAACCAGCTTCCTCTTCACCCAAAACATCATGCACTGATCTTAATCTAAAGTGGGTTGCTAAAGGAATGATAATAGGTTTAGACATGTGCATTGCAAACAATTTTAGCACATTTTCCACATAATGGGACTGCGATAGAGAAATGTTTCTCGCCTTTATGTCTCTAAAATGTCTATGCCTAGAAATCTTCTTGCAAAACCTAATTTTTTCATATCAAATTCGCCTTTCAACATTTCCTTTAACGTACCAATGTTATCTTTGTCATGAGAGATAATTAGCATACCATCATATAGATAAGAAAATACACATAACTATTATCATTATCATTCAAATAACATACACAGTGATAATAACTACACCTATTAAAACCATGATATGCTACAAAGTCATCAACTCTCTTGTACCATTAGGCCCTCTGAATGAAAGAGAATTGACCCTCTGAATGAAACCTGGTCACCAATCTCTTGTCCCTCTAAATTAAAGAAAATTGGCCGACACTGCTTAGGCTTGAATTCTGAAAATGTGTTACAAGTGCACTCTTTCCATGGATCCACGTGTGCATATATGCCAGGGAAGTAAATTTTTCACTATTAAACTTTTCCCACTTTTTCCCATTAAATGTCTGCATAAATTTCCATGGTAAGACTTATAAAATGGAAGTATACAAACTTCTTCTGACCAGCACAAATTCAATTACCAGCAAATCACTATCAAGTACCAATGAAAACATTTTCTACCTATTAATATTTATTTCTTAAAAAAAAATAAAAAAATCCGAACAACTATATCCAGACATCTGTCCTCAAGATACGATAGCACATTAAGGAGACCTTGCATCACATTGGAAGTTTGATTCTTGTAACCTGTTATTCTCATAGTGAAAGTGTAATTCTGGACTAGTATCCCATGGATTTTTACTTCTTCACATTCGAAAGGTTTTTCCACATTAAAATCTGGTTGAGTTCATTTCTCTCTCTCCCCTTCGTAATTTTCTATTTCTGCTGCATATAGGCCGACCTAGTAAGTTCAGGCCAACCTCTCTGATTAAGCAGAGCTCGACATTTGACTTTCGTAAAGGCTTCTTAGACGAAATTGAGGAATCGAGTTTCCAACACCATGCTTAGGTAATGACATCATTATGAAATTAGGTCAACTCATTTCAGTTGTATTTCTTGGAAGGCCAATACCAACACCTAGAGATGCACGAGCACCCATGTTCATAAAAAAATTCCCATCACTGGGAATAGAAATAATAGATCAAAATCTGATATTCAAATTGATTGAGGTGAAGTTAATTTCACCAACCTATATCTTTCTGAATAATTCTATTTGAGTTAATCAGGTCAACCCATGTGATCCCACCTACAGTAAGCTTGTTTGGATACTGATTTATTTCCCCTCTTTTTACTTTTACTATTTTAGTGAATTTTGTTAGAATTGGTCAAGTGGCAGGCTACTCATTATAACCGGGAAAAAAAAAAGTCTACTCATCAATAGCCTTTCCATGCACATGTGCTCATATAGTATATAGCTATAAGTATATTCAATTATTTATTATATATTTTTGACCAGGACGGAAGAAAATTTAACATGTTTGAAGAAATTTTGAAAGTTATTATAGAAAATAGAATGATCAAAATATTTATGAATCGTTAGTATGGTATGTAAGCCATGTATGTAATCCTTATGGATGCATTAGTGTGGCATGATTGCCATATATGTAACCCAAGGGATGTGATGATCAATATAGGGGTGTCTTAGACAATAATAGTATGAACTAAGATTGAACAAGGGGTCCCAGTTACAGTGTGTATCAATTAGGGCTGGTGTTGGTGGCTACAATGGCTCTTCAAGTTAACAAGGTAACGGTTCATACAATAGTGATATTGTGTGTGTCCATAATGCAGACTTAAGGGATATTTATAGGTCTCAGAGGGAGAGAAAAAAGTCAACTATTATGGAAAGAGTCAAGTTAGCCTGTCCTTGCAGAGGCAAGGTACTTTGCAGCTATTGCAATGCTGCCAACAACCACTTGTAGGGGAGCATGTGAGGGGAAAGTTCCCAATAAGTTATTTTGGGTGCCCGAAGAGGCAAAAAAAAGTCCCCAACGTAAGATATTCTAATGTCTTACGGTGGAAAGCATGTTGCATGGGAGCAAGGACAATAGTGCTATAACAACAGGTTGGTAAGGCTGAGGTAGCATGGACACTTGATATTGGACCAGCCTTACTGGACCAACAAACTAGGCTGGCCAAAACAATTTGAAACGTGGATAATAAAAAGGTAGTTAACCATAATTTAGGGATGCAAATTACAAAAAATAAAATAAAAATAAAAATAAAATTGCCTCTCTGAGATATGTCGGAATAGTCATTTTTGGGATTGAAAAGGATGCCAATCAAGTTTATACCTAAATTGGGGCTATATTGGGGCTTTTCATTGATAATGATAATGCCCAAATAATTTTCTGGATCAAAAGTTATGCCTAAATAAAGTTAGGTCGAGATTTTAGCTTCTGGTGATAAACCTGATCCAAATCCTTTATTGCCATTCGTTTCACTTCATTTTTAATAATTAATTACAATCTTAGGCTTTTGGAGGAAAACTAATATTTGTTAGTATGTAAACTGTTTTAGTCATTCTCTTACAATCGATATTCCTATTTAATTTCAGTTTCTTTATAGTCTTAATTAATCTCAATTCATTTAAGTAATCTAATTATTTTTTAATAACAATTCTATTATATCCATTTATAAACATAAATACATCTTATACATTGGAAAATACTATAAATTATAATAATTAACTAATATATTTATTTTTGGTAAAAAAAAAAGCCTGTAATGTGGGCCTCTATGTGCGTCCAAGCAATTCTGTTGGTTCAAAGCAAGGATTTTCAATAACAACAATAACACTATAACAGCCCATGATTTCCTTTATCTTGCTATTTAAAGCACAAATTCTGAAGATTCGCCTTAAGCATCCAGCAAAGTCCAAGCCCTCATCATTGGGCGCCTTACTCACAATCTCACTCTTAATTGGGCCAAGTTTGTATCCTTCTGCGAAAAAACAGTTCATGATGCTCACATCCCATTTTTATTTTATTTTACTTTTTTAGCATTGCAGAACAATATTTTCATATACCACAATAAAAGAAGGAAACTACTGAAAAGAGCAACTAAAAGACAATAATCAATTGAGATAATTTCGCATAAATGACTAAAGGAACCCATACCCAGATAACGAGTAAGTATCAATGTTTTAATGCGGAAAATATCCATAATTTACTGTTAAAAAGTTCTTTACGAGATTGGCAAGTAGCCGCGCTAAGCAAAAGTAGACTTAGGTGGGAATAACTGTGATGATATAAATTGCGCTGTTGCAAATTACAAATCTGATCATAAAAATGATGGAATGCAAATGTGCAAGGTCCTGTGAAAATCATCAACCTAACCAAACCTTTTGGATTGAAGGTTATGTTAAGATTTTGGATTGAAGGTTAGGTTAAGATTTTGGATTGTTACTGAACAATTCCTACTGGTCACATAGTTAAAAAACAGCATTCGACGTTAAAAAGCAACATAGGTCATGACACACCTCACAACATATCGCTCTATTTAGCAATTATTCCTCTTCTGTGTCTCGTTTTTACATGGCATGTAATGTAATGGTGTCTAAGACTTGACAAATCTAGCAGGACTAAACTGCTTAAGATCAACAATAGTGGAATGGCCATCAATGACAAGCTCGGCCATGGCAGCACCAGTGGCAGGACCATTGAGAATACCCCAGCAACTGTGCCCTGTTGCCACATAACACCCCTTAACCCCCGGAACCTCTCCAATGATTGGCACGCCATCATCAGTACATGGCAAAAAGCAAGCTTGCTCAGCCTTCACTCGTGCCACTCCTTCCCCAAGATGACTTGACACCGTCTTAGCCACCCTCTTCAGCATCTCAATCGATTCGGGGTTACCCCTTATCTCCTCAGGATCATCAGGCACCTCTTCCTCCCTTGACATCCCACATACATACACCTCCCCTTTCAATTCAATAAATGCCACGTCATCATCAATAAATCCATAAGCCTTTGGTAGGACGTAAAAAACAAATTTCCCACAAAAATGAGATAGGTAAAATCACGTGCCGACGTTTGGTAGGAGGAAAATAAAAGTAAGACTGAATTTTTTTTTTTCCAACATTTACTTTTTTTCATAAAAAATTGTGAGGTAAGATTTCCATTGATGAGGTGGAAATTTTTTTTTTCATGCAGTAAAAATATTATGACATGACATCAGTAAAATTAATCAACATTGTCATATAAATTTTGTCTACCAAACGTCTTTTTAGGCAGACGTTTTGTAGATAAAAATTTTTTTATCCAAAAATCACGATTTTCTTAAATATTATCAAAAAATTGTTCAATAAATACAAATATTGGATAAATTTTCCTAATTCTATGCTATGTTACCACTTATGAGGGTCATTTTTGTCATTTTCTTGTGTTTAATTTTTTCGTATTACGGGAATCCAAGAATACCATCCATTGAGTGGTATTCTTTGATGATAATTTTAGAAAACTTTACATACAAAACAAAATCACGAAAATAAAATTCATGGGATTTAAAACTCTTTTACCAAACATGATAAATAAAATTATCACCCTCAACTTCCCAAGAATCCTAAAAAACATCCCTATCAAATGGCCCTTAGTAATTCATTGGAAAAAAAAAGATTCACCATATTTCTGAAAAAAATAATTTAAAAAAAATAATTTTTCTTCTATCAAACACCCCTTAATGAAAAATCCAAAACATTTATTTATTCTTCTTTAATATAGTAATTGATTGGCATACCTGTGGGGCGAGGGTACACTTCTGGGTCAAGAGGCGTTGCACGTTTGGAGGGATAGTAGCTGAGAAAGAGTGCATGGGGAGTTATAGCATTGGGCTCTCTGGGCTCCAAAACTATGCTATGGGCCTTAAGCCCATAAACTCTAAACAGCGATGACAACAGCTCCAACTTACCAGACCAAGGGCCCAATGCCAACACCACCGCATCCGAGTCAATAACTCGTCCTCCTTCAAGCACCACCGATCCAACTCGTCCTCCTTCCACCTCCAACCGCTCCAATTTCCCAATCACCACCTCCACCCCATGGCTCTCCACGGCTCTCCCAATAAGCGTGCGAGTGAATAGTTGCGGGTGCACCTGCGCCGTTGTTTCAAGGGTCCCAGTCGTTCTTGGACTTCGAGCTGGCCCGTCAACCCAAGACGGCAAGGAACCGCCGCCACTGGAGGCGGCAACGGGGCTGTCGGATTCGGTAACGGTGAGGCTGAGAGTGGTGAGGGGTCTGTAACCGTAGGATCGAGGACCGTCCAGCTCTTGGGAAAGCGAACGATGGAGATTGAAGCTCGCGCGAGCCAGCGCTTCCACCGGGCCTCCGTCGCACCAATCTAGGGCGAGGAATCCGCCGGCTTTTCCGGAAGCGGCGCATGCCACGTCGGACTTCTCTATGAGTGTGACGGCGGCGCCCTTCTTGGCTAGAAAGTAAGCGGTGCACACGCCTACGACTCCGCCGCCGCAAACCACCACGTGCTTCGGCTGATCCATGGGCGGCGCCGATGTGGTAATCAACTTGGCACCAGACATGAGATTTCTGTTTCGGGGAAATAGAATGAGCACTGACAGCTGAATCCCCACCGCTGGACACGTGTCTGTTACATTGTTTCTTCTTCACTCCAGAATTAAGTGGATAAGATAAACCCCGATTCTTCTTCCATTTTCTTTTCTTTTTTTCTTCTCCTAATAATTATTTTAGTTTGGGGCATAATTCGGCCCGGCCCGATAAAAACAAGTTTTTCTTCATGAGCAGGTTCAACCTTACTGGGCTTGTAATCCTTTCTTTAGGGGGCGTTTCTATAGAGAAATTTTTGGATGCCTGATAATCATGATTATCAGGAATATAGTCGGAAAACGAAGTATCCGGAATGTTATAAAAAAGCTGTTTGGTATACGAAAATATGACTGAAATTTTTCGATTGAATTTACTGAATTTTGTTTAGTTGATTGTGAAATATTAGTGGAAATGTTGGATTATTTTACAAAAATAACCTTAGATTCACTTTATTTTTTTAAATGATAATGAACGTTTTTCAGTGAGAAACAGTGGATTGAATATGCTCCACCTCTCTTCCCTTATCTGGATTCATCTTCTTCCTCTTCCAAGTCGCAGGCAACTCTCTTTCTTTGTTCCTTTTCTTTCTGGGTCCATCTGTGCATTTTGTGATTGCACAAGCTACTTCTCTTGCTTCTCCTACCTAGTACCTACTGTCCGATCTTACTATTTTCCAAGCTTCCAGTTCTAATTACTACAATCGATAATTAAATATGAGACTAACCAATTCTACTATTTTACATTTTTTGGTGGCTGGATTCAAATTCTTTTTTGCCCTCTCGTCTGCATCCATCAATTTCTTTTGATGGCTGTAATAACAGCGCACAAGTTCTACAAAAAAACAAGTAAAAATGAACTTATATTTGTAGTGGACAAGCAAGGAAAAAAGTCAAAGAGAAAGCAATTTTTGAAGAAATGAAGAAATAAGCATAAGTATGTCGTTGATAGTCTGACGAAGAAATGAAGTCTGAAGACGAAGGACACATTTGTCCAAAAAATTGTGTCTTCAAATCCCTTCATCTGGTAAATGAAAAATACCACCCATTTGGTGGTATTTTGAGAAGGGAATAAATTCACAATTTGTACATAACTTGAAATCCAGGGCAAATCAGATAGCTGGGCAAATATTGTGAAAACTCCTACCAAACGTGGGTATCTATAAATCCCATTTTAACTTTCCTATTATTCTCAAAAAATTACTCCTACCAAACAGTCCCTTAGGTAGTGTTTGGTTGGGGATAAGTCAATATTTTTCTGGCAAAGTGAGAACGGGATTGTTCCTTCTCCGTGTTTGGTTGAAGATTCGGTCTCAGTTGCCCATCAATGATGTTTGTCTAGCAATCAATAATAACAAAAGAAATCCGGATTTGAACAGTATTTAGAAAGCATCTTGTGAAGGTGGTATTGCCCATAGAAAGTGGGTAACTGAAAAATGGGATGAAGAGCATGACAAGTTTACCCTCCTTCTTCATCACTACTGCTACCATCGTCAGCAGCTCCATATATGGATTTTTTAAATTCTTCTTCCGCTTTAGCCTGTTCATCTGCCGAGGAACTAGCAAGCTTTTTGTTAAGGCTTTGCAGACCCATCAATGAATCACCTTTGGGATTACCTATCACATTCGACTGATTAGATATGGATTTAACTGAAGATGCTTCAAGACCATTTACTTTATTCTCATTACCTGCTGGCATGAAGGCCTTAAGTAAGCTATCTTCTGTCACCTCTACAATATTGCCCCTTCCTTTAATTGAACATAAATATATACCAATATGATCTGTAATAATGGACCGAAACGGAGACAAAGACGTTGTGCTATTGCCGTTGGGTTACTTGAATGTAATTTCAGTACTTATTCAATAGGTTTTGAAACAATAGAGGGTTATTTCTTTTGGGGTCTTTTTTGTGATTTTATTAAATTTTCCCATCAATATTTTATCTTCAACCAAACACACATTCTGTTATTTAACTCAATTTTCCTGGTAAAATTTTGTCCAACCAAACAACATTTTTTAAACTTTCCTATATAACTCACTTTCCCCGCAGATCCCCAGTATTTACATTTTCCTAGTAAAATAAAATTTCTCTTGAACCAAACACTACCTTAGTGTTCAATGCTAAACGCCAACATTTACTCAACTATTAGTTGATAAAATTGAAAAAAATAAAATAAATTTAGGGTCCATTTGGAATGAAATTTGAGTTACAGTTAAGAATAACTTTAATTTCAATTTTGTCGCAATTGTGATTGATTGAGAATTTTTTTTTTATGTATTCGAAATAAAAAATTATTTGAGAGAACAATGTAATCAAGAATTAAACGATAACTTTATAGAGGACTATAGCAACGATTGTCTATGTAGCACTGATATCGACACGGAACACGTGACACGATACGACACGATATTCCGACAAGTTAATTCTAAAAAATATTAGATTTCGATATGTTAGGATACATTTTGATATTAAATAATATTTTTAATTTATGTACTGTATATTATATTTAGAGTAAATATCATTTTTTGTCCTCAGCAAACTTCATGATGCCCATTTTAGTCTCTAGCAAATAAAAAGGCCCATCGTGGTTCCTAAGAAATTCAAAATAGACCCATTATAGTCTTTTTAGGGACTAATATGGGTCTTTTTTGAATTTTTGAGGGACCACGATTTCAACTAAATGAGTTCATTTTGAATTTCTTAGGGACCACGATGGGCCTTTTTATTTGCTAGGGACTAAATCGGGCATCGCGAAATTTGCTGAGGACCAAAAATGGTATGTACTCTTATATTAATATTCAATAATTTAACAAAAAAATGAATCTAAACTTATAATATTCATAAATTTTGCAAACAAACATAAGATATCTCAAATATTTATATTAAACTCAATAAAATAGTAATCGTAATCCAACGAATCTAATAGTCAGAACTAAAAAATCAACGCAACTTAACCTTTATACTTTGTTTTTGAATTTCTATAACGCGTGTTGGAGTGTCGGGAAGTGTCAAAAATTGTCGGACACGACACGTCAGGGTTTTTGAAGTGTCGGTGCTTCATAGACGATTGTGATAGGAGGATGTTAGTGGCAGAGGACAATGGAAGCAGTGGTGAGTGGTGACAACTATGAACGAAGGTCACTGGTGACAAGATTATTTGTGACAAGCTACGTCGCACCAATATCGACACGGGATATGATACGATATATTGATATGTTAATTTTAAAAATATTTAATTTTGGTATATTAGAACACATTTTTATATTATTTATATAATATAATTTACATTTAGTTCTTATAGCAGCTCATAATAAGTTATATAATCAATCAAATATTCAAATTCTATAACATAAATATAAAGAAAAAATAATTTTTTCGATCATATTTTATAACAGAAAATATTTAATTTGTATATTAATTTTTCATGGTTAGTTGTAAAAATAAAATAAAATAAAATTTGGATATAAAAAAATGTCTCAAAAAATATTAACTGCGTGTCAAAAAATATTGACCGCATATCAAACGCGTGTCAAAATATGTCGGAACGTGACAACTAACAAGTATGTCAATGGCAATAGTTTTTGGAACATGAAGAGACAAAAAAATAATGAATAATTAAACATGAAATATTGATTTTAAATTTTATTTTTGGTATTTGAAATTGTTGTCTACGGTATAAATTAATATAGTATTAAATTAAATATTTCTTAAATCCATCGATTTGGATTTAGGGGTTTGCAGTAAAATCTATATATTCGATTCAGCTTAAATGAATACGTTCTTCCATTTCTTTCATTATGAAACTGAGTAAAGGCCCATGAAAACATATTAATATCTAAATCAATAGACTTAACATAATTTTGTAGTTTTTTTTTGGTAAAAACATAATTTTGCAGTGTTTAAAAATCTGGCTCGTCCATCAACTCAGCCGAGGTAAGGGGTCACTGGCTCTCTTCATTGAACCGATTTTATATATTAAAAAGATATAAATATATATTCTATATGAAAAATTCAAAAAATTCAAACCATCAATCTTTAAAAATTCAAAATATACTTAACATAATTCAATTAATTAAATCCACAAGTCAATATTCACAAGCTAATCAAAGTATCAAACTATCAAAATATAAAACACATATTTCAACTTTTTTTTTAATGAAAAGTTATATCATGAAACTCAGGCCATTCTTGTCCTTCTCATGCACCTACAACAATATCTGAAAAGAGATCCTTAACCACAATTGAGAATAGCGGAGAAGAGACGGCTACACGACAAATTAACGAGGGGGAGAAAAGAACTAGCACGGTGGAGGAGATCACCGGAACAAGGAGATTGAGTTTGGGTCTTGGAGAGAAGATCAGAAGAGAAGAAGAAGAACGATTCAGATTTCAAATCTAGTTCTAAATCTAGGTAGCAACGAGTTTTTGTTTTGTTTTTTTCTTTTCTTTTTTAAAGATCAAACAACTTCATTTCGTGTATAATTTTTTTTTTAAATGCAGTGACCCCTCTGACCTAGTAGTCACAGGTTCAATTGGAGGGCTTCGGGAGTTAGAGGGGTTAACGTGCAAGTAGAGTCTAACTACTAACTCGAACCCTTAGAGAGAGAGCGAGTCAATAACCCGAAGCCAGAAGGGTCAATTTCGGGTCCGATGAGATTTTAAAACACTGTAATTTTGTAGTTAATTGTACATAGCGTCTTTTTTATAAGTATAATAGTGTTTAGTATTCAACCTAAAAATAAAATAATGTCTAATAAACTTTCGTAATAGATGTGAGATATATCAATGATAACAAAAAATATATAAGATAAACTAAAGAAAAGTGATAAACTTTTCAAATATTTTCTACGTTATATTAAAGAAAAGTGATAAATGTTTACCAAAAACCAAGTGATAAATTATATTACCTAACTACTGTACGTATACTCCCCCAAAATAAAGAAATAAATAGATTAGGACGCAAATACTCGAGTTTTCAATTCTTTTATTTTGCATTAAATAAAATCAACAACATTTTAAATATTTGTATATCATATATTTCTTTTTATCTTTTCATCTCATAAGCAATATTTATTTTTTGAAAAAATATTTATCATTTTAAATGACACAATTTTATGATTTTAAATGAAATCAAGTGTTTCTGTACATATTTTTTAATTTTTTTATATCTCTCTACACAAAATTAGAATGAGAGGGAGAGAAAGAGTATTTAGAAGAAAAAAGAATATAAAATATGGTCATTTTACTTAAAATGATACAAAATTGTGTCATTTAAAATATAAAAAATAAAAAAGAAAAAAAATTA